AGTGAAACTGTTTAATATAGGACATTAGAATGCGAGAGAGAGAGAGAGAGAGAGAGAGAGAGAGAGAGAGAGAGGGAGAGAGAGAAGGAATGGGAGCATGAGGCGGAAGTGAGTGAAGAAGACAGATGGGAAAATGAACAAAGGATGCCAAAGGGAAAGGAGAACCAGCACAAACAGAGCACAGGACTCAGGCAGAGACACGGCCCAGAGCTGCTGAGCCAGTCCCAAAAATGGACCTCTGAAGACACCACCTCCTTCCAATACTCCTATCCGCAAGGTTTTTGCCACATGTCTCTGCAACAATATGGTAACCATATGTCCTGGGGCCACAAAACAACTAAACACCTTGGATAGAATGGTTCATCCAGATGTGCAGCTTGGAAATACTGCACCCTCAGGACTCAAGGCAGAGCTGCCTCCCATTTTGATGGGCATGAGGTCACTGAGCGTGCCTCCTCAGCCATGAATCATGGAAAGGAAGCAGCCATGAAGAGCTGGGGGGATTGAGAGGTTCCCCCTTACCCAAAGCCCTGGGAGGAAAGGAAATCAAATGGACTCTCTCACACTGTGCCTGCTCTGCCCATCAGGTTGAAGTGGCATCCTCCCTGGCTGGTGCCAGCCACGCCAAATGGCTCAGACACTCCCCATTGTGTACGTGTGAGGCGGACCACCCTGCTTCGTGAGGCTGGTTTTACTTTCGTCCAAGCTGCTCCTTGGGGGTTTCTGGAAAGATGGGAACAGAGGGTTCCCCTTGTGTGCATGTTTGCCCTGGAATTTCTTATGAGTCTGAGGATTCCAGTTGCCATGGCAACTGTCACCTGAGGAAATGGTTGGATAAAATCATAGCTTCTAGGAATAGGACCTCAAGTGGTTGTTTAGGGAGAGTTGTCATTGGCTTCATGTTTAAATTTAAATGAGAAAGTCACTGAGTATGGCTGAATTAAAAAAAAAAAAAGATAAGCCTGGGGTAGAGAGAGGACAAAGGTCAAGGCTTCATCAACTTGCTTAAAGTAGAGAGAGAATGGGAAGTTTGGCTGGAGTGAAGTCTGGGTCTCTGTATTTCCTATTGTGCTTTGAGGTTTTCATTCATTAAAAAAATATATATATATGTGTGTGTGTATATGTATATATATGTATATATGTGTATATATGTATATATGTATATATGTGTATGTATATATGTATATATGTGTATATGTATATATGTGTATTTATATATGTGTGTATATTGTGGGGTTACTAGGCTCCAGGAAGTATACAAGCAACTGGGGATGAAAACGAATGAGATTGACATGGTTCCTCTATTCAGGGAGCCTGCAGCATCAGAAATGGTCTCTGAGAAAGAGGATAGGAAAGTTCCCATGACCCCAGGAGTCAAAGAAACACCAAAGGGCACATGCTACCTACACTTCTGCCTTTCCCTCCGCTGTGCTTAGGAAAAATTGCAGAAAGTGCTGTCTTCACCCGTGGTGGACAAGTGCATTTGTCCCCTGAGAGAACCATTCTTTCTGACCCAAAAGCCCTCACTCACACCCTTCCCTTGTCACTCAGAGTTCTCTCTTGTCCCTGCAGGCCAGACCCATAAAGATCAGGCCTCAAGGGAACTTCTTGGAGCCCTCTCTGTCAAGCAATAGGAAGGCTCAGAACCTTTACCCTTTCTCCCATGCTTCTCTATAGTCCCTGCAGTGGGTGAGATTCAGGTGCTCTGAGGAAGCACTGAAGTCACCCCCGTTAGAAGACACATCTTCCAATTAAGTGTTCAGCCTTCTGTGGTCAGGGAAGTCTGGGGGTTTATCATCATTGAAGAACTTGAAAACTTCAGAAGGAAACAGTTAAAAATGTCTAGGAATCAAGAGGTTAGGTAACTTGCCCATATTCCCACAACTAATAAAACTTTGCATTAACCCAAATGGTAGCTGTTATCCTTTTGATAGAACAGATTTTAAAAGCAGCAACCTATTAAGTGAAGAAGCAATGAAATGATTTGCTTCCTTGACTCCTGACCTTTTAACTTTAACTCTAGAAAACATAGCCAGGGTTCCTGTGTAGGAAAGACACTGCTCCTAGCCTGTCTTTTCCCCATCCTCAGCACTATTGCTGGTATCAAAACATTCTCCAGGTCAGGGACACATTCAAATCTGCAGCAACTCACGTGGTATAGATACCAGGGCACTCACCTATGAAGGAGCAGGGTGCTGGAAAAATACTCTGCCAATTGTTGGCCCTTCAGTTGTCTCAGGCGAGAGTAGGGAGAGGAGGGGACTCTGAGCAAGAGCAACTTAGCTATCTCTGTGACAATGTCTGAGTCTTTTTTTCTGTTGTCATAAGTGAAAACAAAAGGCTGAGTAATTTATAAAGAATGGAGGTTTTTTTTGGACCACAGTTCTGGAAGCTGGGAAGTTTAAGTACTCTGTACCTGCATCTGCTGGTGAGACCTTGTTGCTGGTGGGGATTCTTGCTGGTGCAGGGCCTCACACAACGAACTTGAGTCTCTCTTCCTCTTCTTATAAAGCCACTAATGCAATCATGGGGGCCCCACCCTCATGACCTCATATACTCCAAATTACTTCCCAAAGCTTTCTCTCTACATATTACTTTAGGGATTCAGTTTCAACGTGGGTTTTGGACGGGACAAACACCCAGACCATGGCAGGCTGTATTCCTATATTTTGAATGACCGGTACAGCCACTTCAGTGAAATCAGAGAGAGTAGAGTCCCAAAGCAAAATACACAGGGAACCACTTCTGCTGGGATATCTTGGTAGCCTTCTGAGACTGCAGCCCTCCCTGCTGGTGCTACCCATGGCATCTGGGTTTTGTTGTGATATTTGGAAGTTCCCTTTTTTATTATCACCCTGTGAGCCAGTGAGGGCATTATTTAACCCTTCCTACTCATCTGAGTTGTCAGGACCAAACAGAAGAGAAGAACACTGAAGCTTCTTAACCGCAGTAAGCTCAGCATTCCACCCTCTCCCTCCCTTGTCCCTTCAGCACCATAAGGTCCACCTTAGGTCACCCCTGCCACTTTATTATCTGAAAGTCGTTTCTTCCTCAGATGGTCACCTGTGACAAGTTATGCACAACAGAGCATTGCCCACCCTTTTGGTATTTTGCTATTGTCATCAAGAGACAGCGGCCTGCTCAGTGGTCAGACCCATTGTAAACCAATAGAAAGCAAAATGTACTGCAAAATTCTGTCTTCTTGGGGCTCACACAAGCCTCCTATCCCCCTTCCTGTAAGTTTCCACATTCAGCACTTTTTTTCTTTTCAGCAGTAAAATCATTCTCTGTGGGAGGAGAACTTAGCTTTGATCTTTAGAGATGCCCTTTAAATGTGGTTAGGGTCAGAAAAAAAAAAAAAGACTGAAAACTTGAAGTCAACAGGCAAAGGTACAACCCACCCATGGGAGACCAGGAGAAGCATCTAATGGGAGTCTGTGATTAACAGAAGGCCACGGCTCTGGACTCAGTTACATGGCATGCCCTCAGAGAACTCAGAGATCCTGTTCTCTGAACTCATTTAGGCTCGTTCCCTTAATTTATTAAATCCCATTAAATAAAGTACTTTCATCTGCAAGGGATTCTGAGTCTATTATCTGGGAACTTGACTGGCTGTGTTTACGTGGGTCATCACTGCAGAAGCTCCTTCCCCAGTAAGTGGAGATTAAAGTGGCAGGGAGGGTGTCGTGCTCTATTTTGTGCTGATAGAACAGAACACCATAGGTTCGGTAATTATAATGAACAGAAATGTATTGGGCTCATGTTCTGGAGTTAGAAAGTCCAAAATCAAAGGGTCATACCTAGTGAAGGCTTTCTCCCCCCACCCCTACCACCACCCCCCCGTGGCATTCCATGGTTGATGGTGGAAGGGCAGGAGAGTACACGAGAGAGAGGGAGAACTTGCAAGTGAGAGGAGACTGAATGCTTGTATAATAAACCCACTTTGCAATAAGGACATCCACCCATTCATGAAGGCAGAGCCTTCCTGACTCAATCACCCCTTGAATTTCCCGCCTTTCAACACTGTTGCCCTGGGAATTGAGTTTCCAGCTCATGAACTGCAGAGGACACATTCAAACCATAGCAGAGGGGGGAAAGAGCATTTAAAAGGGGAGATGATGTTCAATGAGATGACTTTAGAAATTGGCTGGGTACTCTGAGATCCATGGCAGACAGGGCTGTGATTCATGCAGCCTAGGACTAGAGATGGCAAACTGGAAACGGTTGAGGGGTAGAGTATAAGCCTGCAAGTCAGGCAACCAGTGAGGAGGCTCTCTAGCTGAGGGATCTAGGGCAAGTGCTTAATCTCTTTAGATCTTGGTTTCCTTTTCAATAATGTGAAGATCCTAACTCATATCTTAGAAGGTTAAATGAGGTCATGATTGTAAAAGCTCCTTGGAAACTTTGTCTTAGCAAATAATACTTGTTCTATTTATTCTTTCTAATTTTACAAATAGGGCCCTTGTTTGTTTTTTTTGCTTGATGTTGTTTGTCTTGTCATTATTTATCAGGATATAATTCTACTACCTGGTTATTATAGAAAGTCAGGCTGAGATTGATTCTCTTTCACCGTATGAAATTAGTACAGTTATGCTTTGTGCCTCAGTTTCCCCACTAGTCAGCTATGGTGCTAATGCCTGCCAACTGTTGTCAAACAATTCAGTAAGAATATTCAATCATCTCTGAGTCCTTTGAATATGGGTTCTGTGGTGACTGGTTTCTGATAGGAAATGTTCCAATTTCTGCAAAGAAATGACTAGTGTCATGAACCAACTCTGATGCTCATGAGTTATGTCAACCTTCATTTGGAGGTTCATCACTCACAAGTCTGAAAGTTGTTGCTGAGTGTGGGCTGGTGGCCTCAGCTCCTCTCTGTGTGGACTTCTCCATATAGTTCTTCTGCTCTGGCAAGTTTGGGCTTTCTTACAGCATGGTGGCTCATTTCCAAGGCCCCCAAGAGAACAAAGGAATGATGATAAGCCGGTGGAAGTAGTAATGCCTTTTACCATCTAGCCTTGTAAATCAGGCAAGGCCATTTTTTTTTCTAATTTGTTATATATGATAGCAGAATGCATTACAATTCATATTATACATATAGAGCACAGTTTTTATATCTCTGGTTGTATACAAAGGATATTCACTCCATTCATGTCTTCATACATGTACTTAGGGTACTATGTCCATCTCTTTCCGCCGTCTTTCCTACCCCCATACACCCTCCCTCCCCCTCTCATCCTTTTGCCCTATCTAGAGTTTGTCTATTCCTCCCATGCTCCTCTGAACCCCAATATGAATCAGCCTCCTTATATCAGAAAAAACATTCAGCATTTGGTTTTGGGGGATTGGCTAACTTCACTTAGCATTATATTCTCCAACTTCATCTGTTTACCTGCAAATGCCATGATTTTATTCTCTTTTAATGCTGAGTAATAGTCCGTCATGTATATATACCACATTGTCTTTATTCATTCATCTACTGAAGGGCATCTAGGCTGGTTCCATAGTTTAGCTATTGTGAATTATGCTGCAATAAACATGAGTGTGGCTGTGTCCCTGTAGTATGATTTTTTAAGTCTTTTGGGTATGCACCGAGAAGTGGAATAGCTGGGTCAAAAGGTGGTTCCATTCTCAGTTTTCCAAGGAATCTCCATACTGCTTTCCATACTGGCTGCACCATTTTGCAGTCCCACCAGCAATGTGTGAGTGTGCCTTTTCCCCACATCCTCACCAACACTTATTGTAGCTGCCATTCTGACTGGAGTGAAA